CCAGTTTCCCATCCCAGATCTAATCTGTGCCACGATCCACCTTTTTGAATCAAACTGCAGGTGTAGCACCGTGTCAAGCATTATATGAGGTACTGAACGTTACTGTTGATGTTGCGTCTAGTGCGAGGGGTACACGTAGACAAACACGCGCAGTGGACGACTTTAAAGGGGCTCTGTCGAGTGGAGTGGAGACTGGGAGTCTCCACAGCTCACCTGTGGAGAGGAGTCTATAGCAGCATAGAAGGCCCAGCAGCTGCCAGGGTTGTAAGTCTAGGCACCTAGCAGAGACGCAGAATGGGAAATGTAAGACCCTCTTTCAATACACTGCCACTTAGTAACAGAAGGCATGTGCCAAACTCGCAGAATGAGAATGAAAACTCCCCCTTCAGAGTTCACTAAATATCAGCAGTGACTCTTTTTATCTACTCCCTGGCTTCTTTCTCTTTGCTCCCCCCTACTTTAGTCTATTATAATTCCTCCATAAAAGAACAATGGCTGAGTCAAAGACCCCCAAACCACAGAGATATACCAACAATCGGTGGGGAGAGGGCAAGGGGAGGGTGGGGCCCGGCTGAAGTGTGGAAGCCATCAATTACGGAGGGCCTAAAGTTAACATCCCAGCAGGATATGTGCATTAGAATGCAGATGTAGGCAGGCTACGGGCAGCAGATGCCAAGCGGAGCGGTCAAAAGAGCAACCAGCGCTCATGAGAGGACATATGTTATGTGGAAGACTCTCACCGCTGACCCTCACTTGAATTTTACACGAGCGATAGAAAATTCAATTGATTGATGATTACAGTAATGACTGAAATGACCCATTGTGAGGTCATGCTCGAATTTCATGTTCAAAAACATCCTGAGGTAAGGCAGTTCACAAGTTTCAGGAAGTCGCTCCTTTGTCATGGATCCGGGATTTGCCAGTGCAACAAGTGAGCCCGTCGGTCACAGTCGTGTCCAAAAGGCACCGGGATTCCACCGCGTCAGTTTCCTAACAGGATTTTCCCCACTCACCACATCTCTCTATTCTGCACTCTCAGCAAGACTCAGCCCTCTGGGCTTCCTCACACTGCTAATTTACACCAGCCTGCAGGCTATCTTCACAGCCAGAGTAGTGCAATTGTATTTTCGGGCTCATCAAGCAATAGCACACAAAAAAAAAAGGTGGGGGGAAGCTCTGACAACCCCTCATGGACTTTCCCGTGTCTATACTATGTTCAACAGGATGGGAAGAAGAAAGCAGAGGAGATTGGTCAAAGTGGCTTGAAAGAAAGGGACCAATGCGTTGCATCATGCTCATGAGGAGGCTCCATCAGGTTGTTTGGGTTTACTGTGTGGAAGCCGAGTATGAGCTAGAGTAGGAGGAAGAGGGTGGCTGCTCCCAATTCTCTGAGAACCAATGCGGCTGCTCCGTAGCAGACCTATTCAGAAGCAAGCCATGCTTGTTTATTTGAAAGAGACCCGCTTTTTTAACTTCCCACCCACGCCATTGTTCCCCCGTCGCATGGGGACCACTTTGAAATTGCAATCTCACGATATTCAAACGCACACATTTGTTTTGACCTTTGGGGCCAGCAATAACATTATCGCTATAAGACAAGCGTTGCCCATTCTTGTAAGCACTTCCAGTGTCATGAAAAGGTTTTATGATGGTTCAACCATCAGCATGTTTAAATTGAACCCAATAAGCAGTACTGCAATGAAGTTGAATGATGAACATTTCCGAACGAAGGTTTTGGGTTTTAATGCGGATTTACCGGTAAATTGATTAAAGAAAGAAATGTTTTCTGTGATTGTTACGATGCATATTTTACTTCCCGTGGCCACGAAAGGATCAACATTTCATTAAAACCAGATGTAGTTGGCATTTTTTGAAATGCTTCTAATCACCATAAGGACTGAACTTGGATTATATGAAACGTTAAAAGTGGTGGAAATGTTTCAAGTAGGGGTCACACTTGAGAGGTTTCTAGAAATAACGTTCTGCATATTGGTATGATCCATGTTTCCTAATTGTTTGATATCATTAACATGACCAGAGCCTTCACATAAATGAACATCAATCATGATTAGCAATAACATATATGGTAATTTCCGGACGACAAGCCGCTACTTTTTTCCGGCATTTTGAACCCTGTGGCTTTCAATGTGATGTGATTCATTTTTATATTTATATATATAGTTATACATTTTATACATACATACAGTTATACATTTATATAACTTTGCTGCTGTGAATTGGGAATTTCCCCATTGCGAGACTAATAAAGGATTTCTTATCATATTTTTTTTCGAATGAGCTTCACGCCGCCAATGCGTTGACCGATAGTCTCGTCCCATGGTCAACATACTATCCTGCTAGCTGTTATGATTCTAATGTGCAAGAAAAAAACGACTGAATTGTATTTTTAAGATCACAATTTTTAATTGCCGTTTTTTTTGATCCTGCAAGATTTCACGGTGTGGAAATGAAAAGTGATGTTTCTTGCTGCACTGCATCACAGCCTTCTCTGAGCAACTTAAATTGCAGAAGCATTCTTGGGTTTGGGAATTGTGGCCACAGTGTGCACATTGCCACATAAATGTCCTGCATTGTTTCTTAAGTCGATGCGACACTCAACCAAAATTAGCCAATTGTTTTGACATGAGAGAGATTCATTTTGCATTTGGAGCTGGGAGAAACAAATGTGTTGCTCTTGATTTTTAGAATATATTGAAAAGGCACAACTATTTATTAGGATTTGAATGCTAATTGTTTCAACATTGGCTCGATGAAACAGTGAGCCAAAAAAACATTTATATCACCACAGGACACTTATGTTCCCCCCCAAAAATGTTAATTTGATGTCAGTTTGTTTGCTTGTCGGTCTTCTGCTTCAGCCAGGCAAAAATAGCTCCAATTTCTGCGGTCGTGGCTTTAGCAGAAAAACTCAAGTCCAGGTTTTAAAACCTGGACTGAAGGAATTCGGATCTGGTTTGGATCAAGTTGTTATGTCAAATGAAAGTTTATGACACTGTACGTTGTTTAGTGCCGTCCAACTTGAAGTTGGGCAAATTGTCACCTCATATGAACTGAAGGAGACCAAAAATGAAAATAAATGAGACTTTTCGGTATGGACATGAGAATGTATCATCTGAATGCACTCATAATCACAGCCGAGATCTAACTGCAGCACATTCTTGCGCTGCTGATTCCATATCAGGCAGGCTTTATTATTTATCGACCTAGTGTCTTCTAAATTCAGCGCTTAAGAAGTGCAGACCGCGTCTTTACATGTAACTGTCTTTAAACACGAAAAGCTGATGTGATAAAGCCACAGATTTGCATGCATTATTGTTTTGATGATTTACTACTTACTCACTGATGTTGACGTCACACTTGTTTGGAGAATTTTTTTTTAAGTTGTCGTAGTGAACTTTTAAGTTAGCGAATCAAAGGACTCTGTTTTCGTGGACAGCGTGCGTGCACTCAGCGTAATACACACACGGCCCGGTGGGTCAGTGGTTCGCGCGTCGACCTCACAGTGCAGAGGTCATGGGTTCGATCCCGGCTCCAGCCTTCCTGTGTGGAGTTTGCATGTTCTCCCTGGGCCCGTGTGGGTTTTCTCTGGGTACTCCGGTTTCCTCCCACATTCCAAAAACATGCATGGCAGGTTGATTGAACACTCTAAATTGTGCCTAGGTGTAACATGCATTGAGTTGCACATCTCAAGTGTTCCTCTAAATGGCAGGGCTTTGTATTAACCAAATCTGTCTTTTTGCTCATACTGTAAAAAAGATTTAACAGACATTAAGTTTATGATTGTGGGTGGCGTTTCTTCTGGTGAAAAAAAAGAGCCTCCTTATGCATTGCAACCTACAACCACAATAATTAACATCATCATCCTAAATTTTAACCTTTCCAGCATTGTTAAAAGCATAATTGCCTTTGTGAAAAGGCGTTTTTGATGCTTTTCTTTTATTGCGTGTCACAAATAGGTGAAAGTGTGCTTTATGTAGTGACCAGTGAGCGCAGCATCAAGGATTTTGAATGGTTTTCCATATATGACGCCAGCTGAAGGGAACATGCTTCCTATCATCCTTGCATTGACCTTGATGGATAAATCTGCTTTCAAACTCACTAACATCTTCTGACATGGCTTACTCCCTGCACACTGTTGCACAAATGTATTTTGGGGAGCACGAAACAGAGGAGAGTCAACTATAGGGGAGGAGCAAGGAGAACTGTATATTTGTTGTGCGCTGCTTAGATCGTTGGGTGTACCTGCATGCACTACATGAAACCGTGCCTTAGTCTTCTAGCAGATAGAAGGGTGCTTACATCTGACGTAAACCCAAACCATGTGGGTAAAAAGAGGCCCCAGTGTGTGTGGCGACAGAGGTCTGACTTTGTTAAATAGGAAGAAAAAGAAAGCAAAGAGACACAACATGAGGATTTACTCAGGTTGTGTCACCAATCAAACGCTGTACCCCTCACTTACACCTCGGGGGCTATTTCTTCATCAACCTCTTAATGCATCTTTTTGAAGTCATTTCAAGCACTCTGTATACTAGTAGTAATATGGGAACAATTGAGCAAGTGAAGTAAAATACAAAGTCCATAAATCATATTAAGTCATTCCAACAATTCTTAATAAAATTCTTAAAATTACTCCCTTCCTGTTTTTTTTTACATTTCCGTTTTCTGGCAGACATGATTTCGAAGTCAGGCTTAGAATCTAAAATATAGTATAATATTACTCAATAAAGATACATTGTTGAATTTGACCATCAATTAAGAGTTTAAAATGAATCCCGGGGCCTGCGTGGGTTTTCTCTGGGTGCTCTGGTTTCCTCCCACATTCCAAAAACACTCATGGCAGGCTGATGCTTCTTATGTTATTTAATGATGACATCTATTCAGAGACCGAAGTCCTTAACTCCAAGCCATGCCATTGTGAGTTTTAAACTAACAAGCTCAATTGCACTCCCATAGACGAGTGCGCAATAAAATATTTGGGGGGGGGCAATTGGTTGAGTGAAGTCGCACGGTCGAGTCCTTTCTCCCTGAGGTGTCTTCCTTTGAGATCCAGCCGAGCCTGGCGCCTGCAAAACAGAACTTGTCTGACTTATTAAATAGTTGGAGCTGGAGGAAGAAAAAAGGCCTGTTGCTTCTCAGTCGAGGCCATTGTGACGCCAGAAAGGATCTTGACAGCCCTTTAATTGCTGTGATACTGAATGCGTGTTTGACCCAAATCAGGTCCCCTCGTCACTTTCCGTGGACGTGTTTAATTTGATTTTCTCCAATAAAATGGTCTCTTTTACTCAGAAAAGCATTTATATAGACAGCTCGTGTTTTTTGATAACTTTCTCAAAAAAATATCATATGGATTGTCATGATCGTCATTTGCGAACAGGATATTTGTTACGATGTCGCTATAGTGAGCTGCACACTACAGCACCGCAACTCTCAAACGCAGGCTCCATTCTTGCCTGAGGATTGCGATGCAGTACAGCCGCAATAGTTGGGAGAGTGCTCCCGATGGAGTGTCCGGCTAATGGATGTAAGTGGTCGAGAGAGTCCTCCCACTGGTTAATTATACTAAAATTGGTCTAAGCTACTTTGCTAGGGCCAGAATGGCCCGTCGCAGCATGGGGTCGGTATGATTAACTACTCCTTCCTTTCAAAAGCCTCTTGATGTTTCCTTTAGAAGGCTGTGAGCCAATCGAAACAGCGCTCGGACCCCAAATTAGCCAGCTGATTGGTGGGAGTAAGGAGTGGAAACACACCTCTTCCTCTTATAGACGTCCCTGCCGGGTGCGTAAAAGTTAAAGTGTGCGTCATTTACTCGAGAGACCCGCATCGGTCCGTGAACTCATCGCCGATTTCATCGCTCCTTTTAGCGGCCCACCGGGAGGTGCATGGGCCCTTCGCCTCGCCTGACGATGAACGCAGCGCCGGGCTCGCCACCCCAAGACGTCCAAGTCGTCCATCCCAAGGAGGAGACGGAGGACGCCCAGCCCAAGGACATGACCACGGAGAAGGAGAGGAGCCGCCTCCCGTTCAGCGTCGAGTCTTTGATTTCCAAGAGGAGCACCTGCAGGACTTCTTTTGAGTCGGCCGTGTTTGCTCAGAAGCCCGCGGCGCACTTCACTCCGAGGACTTTTTACGCGGAAGGTTCTCCGGCTGTTTGCAGCAGCTCCTCGGACGACACGCCACATTCGGCTGACACCGATCAGAGCACTTGGTTCCAGGCGAACACCTTCTCTTCGAACTCTCGTAAGTATACAGTACCCCGGCGAACGATAATTTCTGCACATATGGTGCTGAGAATAATGACAAAAATGTGTTGTTTCTGCTTGTATATCGCGGAACTACTTCCTCGCATATTGAAAAGAATATTGTAAACGGGCTTTTAATACATTTCGGACTATTTCCCTTCAGTAAAGCGCGTGAAGAATACAGACGGATTCGTGTTTATGAATAAACAAAGTCATTTGTTCAGGGGAAAAAAAGTTTAAGGGCACTACAAAATTATCACGTCATACAAATCATTGAGATGCAAAGAATAGATGTCTTTTCCTGTAAATGTCTTGAATGATACAAGCAGAGCAAGCGATAATCCATCCCTGATTTTAAAGCATTCTTACTTTCGCTAAATTTGTTTTTTCTGGCGGTGGCTTATTTTTTTCCAGGGTTACGTAACACGCGTAAAATAAATAACATTGTGAAATAGGCTCCTTTTAGCATGCATTTACAATAACACAAATGCATCTTGATTTTGTTTTGTTTTTGTTTGTGTTTTTTGGCCCCGTGGTGACTACTGTCTCTGTTTCTGTACCAGGGAGCTCCAGTCCATCTCAGTGTACTTTACGAAAGCACAAAAACAACCGTAAACCTCGCACGCCCTTCACTACCTCGCAGCTGCTGGCCCTGGAGCGCAAGTTTCGCCAGAAGCAGTACCTCTCCATAGCCGAGAGAGCCGAGTTCTCCAGCTCGCTCAACCTGACCGAGACCCAGGTGAAGATCTGGTTCCAGAACCGCAGAGCCAAAGCCAAGAGGCTGCAGGAGGCCGAGTTGGAGAAATTTAAGATGGCCTCTAAGCCCGTCCTGTCCGCCTTCGCGCTGCCTTTCCCCCTCAGCGCGCACGTGCAGGGCTCGGCAACTTGGGGATCCTCGAACCCCTTCCCCAGGCCCAGTCTGCCGGTGCCGGGACTCTTTGGTGCACCTGTCACGTACGGGATGTACTATTTGTCGTAGTATTGACGTGTGTGCTTTCATGGGAACTAGGACATGTTGCAAAAACACTTAAAGGCACACAACAAAAGTATTTTTTCCAACTGGAAAATGTATTTTTTAAATATACTTTACGTTTAGACAAATGTTCTTCTTACCTCCAAATATGAAAACTGTATTGTTGGACACATACATATTTGTGAGAGAAAAAAAACCGTGCTGTTTGTGCGCAAGTTTATTTACCACATTTCAGACAGTAGTTAAAAGTACTTAAAGAAAGTGCCTTAAGAGCCAGCATCAACTTTCGTGATCTTGTTGAACTGTTTATTTTATTTACCACAAAGTTGTCAGCAGAGACACCATTTATATGATATACGTATAATGTGTGTAGCAAATATTGTATACTTCTCCCAGCGTTGCCTTCATGAGGGTTACAATAGAGTTTTTGGGGTGAATTTTGCTGCATATGTAAATAAAAAGTCCTGCAGTCTTGCTCGAGGAACATCAGGACATTTGTATTTATTAATCTTTTCTATCTGTACTGTGTACATTTCTCGTTGGAAAATCTACAGTGACATGGAAATAAACGTACAAAATATCTGACAATACGTTTTGTATTTTAATGTTGTGTAACAGGGCTGAACTTTGCCTTGTCTCAAAATACAAAAGATGAATATATCCATTTAGTTTAATACAAACCAGGGGGAAAAATGTGCAGTTATTGTTGTCTTATTCAACCCAAAATAACGTGTACATTTTGAGTCAAAATGTTGAAAGTTAGAATTTAGGGACATGGTGATATTGGTGCATAATCCCAAAAACATAAACAGAGGAAACATCATTTGTCTTTGTAAAGCCATTTGTAATACTGAATATCATTCAAGTCATATGGAGTAAATTACACACCTTTTGAAATTCAACTGTAATACACGTAAGACAATACTGCAGTATTGATAACATGTTATCACACAGCAATATTATTTTGGAAGCAGATAAATTGGTGTTTGAAATAAAATTAAACTTAAAGATGATTTTGATGGCATAAATATTCGCAAAAAAACGCAAATAAAATGATTAATGGATATTATTTCATCTATGCAGTGATAAAGTTGCTGTAATTGTGCAAATAACTTATGAAAACTTAACGCCACGTTCACGTCAGTGGCATTATAAAGTGCTGTTGGGAGCTCAGGTTGAATTGACAGGGTGGGCAAAGGGTCAATTGACCCCAGAGCCCACTGTATTTTCCAATTCAACCCACGGAGCGTTTATATTTATTATCAAGAGCCCTCTAATAGTTTTTCGAGAACCTTTCCCCTAAAACTGGTTATTTATATCCAAGTGTAATTATCTTTATTAAAAATGTATCTGATGAGATAATTGGTTGATTTATTATCTAGAAAATAAAATATAATTAAAACAGCAAGGTTGTATGCACATTGAACGTTTTTCCTTTTACAAAATGGTTGATTAGTTCTATTAAAATGAATTGTAAATAATAACGTTTAAAATCAGCATGAATATTTTAATTTTAACTTTTAATTTCATTGTAAACTATTTCTATCCATTATCCGAGCCGCTTCTCCTCACGAGGGTCGCTGGTGTTCTTCAGGCTATCCCTGCTGTCTTCAGGCAGCAGGCAGGGTACACCCCAAACTGGTTGACAGCCAGTAGCAGGACAGACATAGGCAAACAAACATTCGCATTCACAATCACATATAAGGACAATTTAGAAGGATCAATTAACCTGTCATTCATGCTTGTTTGGAATGTCGTAGGAAACATGCAAAAACTCCATCTGCATAGAAAGACCGGGGCCCGGATTCGAACCCAAGACCTCTGCACTATGAGGTGGATGTGCTAACCAACCGACCAACATGTTGCTGAGTAAAATTTTTTATTTGTTCAATTCATGAAGCCATTCTCCCCCCCTCCCCCCAAAAAATATTCAGATGTAATCATTGTCATATATTTTCATTGATTAAAACCATTAAATAATTGGCAGATGTCATTAATCATTTGTATAATAGTGTTATGATTTATTTATTGTTTTAAATCGTGATGTATTAATTGTAATAACAACAAACTAGGCACAAGTACAAAATAAAAATAATGCGTTTGATTAGATAATGGTTTGTTTACTATAATTACAATTAATTATAACTATTACATTAAAACACGAATGAATCGTCTTTTTATGTTCAAAATGAGCAAGTTTACATCCTTTTTTAAACTTAATCTACTAATTACCTATCCCAATCCGTTTGAAAAATCAAAAGAGGCCCTCCTTGAGCACACAAGTTTGCCAGTTCTATTGCTCTCACCGTACAAGCGAGCGAACCGGAACACTGTAGTTGTTCTATTCGACCAGTAGAGGGCGATAACGGACTCACTGTAGACCTGTTTTATTCAAAGAAGAATCACTTCCTCTCCGGAGTCGTCCTGTCAGAGACTCCTTCAGTGCAGTGAGGTGAGGACGCCGCATTCATAGCATGTTTCGTGAAGTACCAGAGCTAAATTTATTTTCAAATAATAAACCCTTGTGGAAGTGTCTCCGTTGCACCTCCGTTTTAAGCAAACGTGGACTTCCTGCTAATCAATGTTTCGCCGAAACCTTCGTCGCAAACAAAAGCTATTCTCTGACCTTGGCTAGCAGCTAACAATGCTAGCGTCGTTTTGCAGCCAATTTCATGCCAAGAGCAAGGGAAGAAATGTGGCACAGATACAGTAAAGTAACATTTGAGCATTAGATTATTCCCAAGCAGTGTACTGTGGGAGGTCATCAACTATGCCGCAAGAAACGGTCCCATTTCACGTATTAAATGTCATATATGTATGCCATGTGGATGTATGTGAAAAGCGACAGGCTAAATGTTCATTCACTAGACAGAGGACATAAGACACAAAATTAACTCCGACATCCACCAATTTAGTGGCGTGCTATGTGTTATTTTCTTTCTAATGTAAAATAACGTGGCTAAATGCATCTTGAGAAATAACGTCAACAGTGACAGGAGCAGTTTTGTGTCCACATCATCTCAGTGTTCACGTGGTTTATTGGCACGTTCGAATGAATGATAGTCATTTAAAATATGATATGGAATTAATCATGATTGCAGAAGAAAGTTGAATGCATATGTTTGTATGATATACGGTGTTAGCTCAAGTTGTGTTCAGAGGCTTCTTTAATATTTAGGGTTAACCACTTATGACGTGAATTGTAAACATTTAAATACTTGACTGGTTACTTGATTATCTTATCTCGCAACACGTGTGTATTATAACACGTTTTAATTGACACCCTTCCCTGGTCCTTGCAGATTGTCAAGATGGCAGGCCGCCGTTTAGCCCTGAAGGCCATTGACTGGGTGGCATTTGCTGAGCGTGTCCCACCCAACCAGAAGGGCATGTTCAATGCTCTGAAGACCCGCAGTGATGCAATTTCTGCTAAGTCAGTTAAATGTCATCATCATTGCTCTTTATTGCCAAGTGTGGCTTGTTCCTCTCCAGTTTTTGCCATTTCTTGACAAAACCGATGGATACCCAGTGAGAATATAATAAAACTAGGGTTGGTTGCAATATTCTTATCAGAGCCTGGCATTCCACCAGTTTTTCAAGATTATAATTGAATGGTTATTTTGCTTAGTGATGTAGCTTTGTCACTATAGTTTGAATTTGCCCCGCCACCCAAATATTCAAAAAGTGTTGACAAATGTGTGGTTTCCACAAAACATAATAGATGTCCCGCCTCCCCAAAGAAATGAAAACACTTTTTAGGGGAAAATATTTTTTGGACAGTTGAAAGCAAAATTCTGCAAATAGGTGACTCCGCAGTAGCTGATCCTCACACACACACACACACATTTTTTTAAGCATCGGGTCTACATGATAGCAGTACGTTTGAAAATTAAGTAAACATTGTTTATTTGCCATTAGTAACGGGGTGATTCTAACAGCTTTGATATTCAACTTGTTTTTGCTCATTCACCGCATTTGTAAAAGGTTCCATATTTGTTTGCATGTGTCTTTCTACCTCACCAACACATGCTCATTCCTATGCTTTTTTTTCTTTTCTCTGACCAGACTCGCTTCCCTGCCAGAGTCTCCCGTTGCCATCGACTGGAGCTATTACAAGAGCGCTGTGGCCAAAGCTGGGATGGTTGATGAGTTTGAGAAGAAGGTAAATGGAACTGCAAGTCAGCATTCCGAAAACAACTTTGAGATTTTCTCAATCATTTCGATCAGCTAGAGTTGTTTGCTTTCCTGGTTACGTCATTGTTTCATCTTGTTTATAGTTCAAAGCGCTGAAGATCCCTGAGCCTGCTGATATGCAGACAAGTGCCATCAACGCGCAGGAGGCAGAGGCTGTCAGTGTTAACATCAAATAACCAACGTTTTTAACGAACCATTGTTTAAAAGATCTTTTAATGGGATTGTGTCAACTTTTATAACATACATTTGTTTTCTCATGATTTCCCAACATTTAACTTCACCAGGAAAAAGATGCCCAAGCTTACGTGGAAGCGTCTAAAGCTCGCATTGCTCAGTATGAGACAGAGGTGAGCAAAAATACCTCATGAATAGAAAAAGAAGAAGAATATCCTGAAGAAATCATTGAACTCTCTTTCTCTCGCTCTCTTTCTTTCCTGTTTGCTCACAGTTGGATAAGTTCAAGAATATGATCCCCTTTGACCAGATGACCATTGAAGACCTCAACAACACCTTCCCTGAGACCAAGTTGGACACGGTCAAATATCCATATTGGCCCCACAAGCCCATTTCTGAACTGTGATTAATTAATTGACTTGACACTCACTTCACAATAAAAAAAAACATATTTTAAATGTATTGTGTGTCTCTTGATGCCTATAAGTACACGTTTAAATGCTGAGTGTTGCAGAATCATCCATTGTCAACATGAAGCCACCATGTCTGTACGGTTTGTATGTATGCAGCCTGGAGTAAGACTTTTTGACATATGCTTATTCCTTTTTATACTTTAGTGTTTGTCTTGAAACAAAAACAGCAATGTTTAATTGTACTGTACTGCACCGTTTCCCATATCTGATCGAGATCATGTGTAAACATTTCTGCTTTGAAATCATAATCAAATTGTTTTGATAATTTCTTATTTGGGTGGAACCACCAGTACTCTCGGTTCGGTGCGCATGCATTTGCTTTTGTTGTTTTGGGAGCGAACTCAATGTTTTCGTGGAAAACGCTTATTGGCCATTTATCCCCGTTTACCCCAAAATAATTTTTTTTAAAAAGCATTTCTTCCCAATGCATTTATTGGGGCGTGGGGC